ATGGTAGCAGTAGCACCGAATCCCATTCTGTGCATTCAGCCTCTCTTCTCACCTGCTCAGCATCAAACACATGGAGTTCCTCATCTGTGTGCTCTGGCTCAAACAGGTATGGCTCTGGGTCTGTGTCCGCTACAAGAAACTCTTCAAAATCACGTTCAAAGTCGTCCATTGCAGCTACTATAGTCCGGAGATATTGCTAGGCTAAATAAACAGCTGAGCTCTGTTTACCAGCTACGCTGTCAGTCAGTGTGCGGGCTGGAGATTGGTGGAGCAGAGAGGGGAGGGGAGTCCCCACTTGGGATGGTAAACGAGTATGTGTGTAAAGTTATGAAGTGTGTCTGTTACGCTAGAAGAGTCAGAGTTTGGAACGGAGTGGAGTGTTACCGGAGTTTCTGGAGTGCTCAAATAAACGGGCCTTTTTCCCGAACGCTCCTCTGGTCTCCTGCTCGTGAGGGATCCATTACAATATTGTAACATGGTTTAGATTTCTAAATAAACATTCACCTCGTCACTAGATAGACCTACTCCTGAAAAAGTCGTGCTTTTTGACCCTACGAGGCCGCCGTCATTTACCCGACAGGAGGGGTGAGTGAGTGAGCCCTGCAATCTAGAATTTGACCACTGATGTCACTGTTTTCAACCCATTTTACACACTGGCCTTTTAAAATAGCAACATTTAAAAGGCTGAATGTGAGACCTGCAGCCAAATTGTGCTTTCTAGTCTAATGTTTATCCCCTCAATTTTCACTGCAATATCCTTACTGCTATCAACGACATGACCAAGACCAACAATGAAATGATCGCCCGAGCTGTACAGCAGAAAATCGAGGCAGATTTTGGTGTTCAAGTGAGCCTGACGAGTATACGCCGCGCTCGCAGGAGGTTGGGATGGACATTCAGCAAGACCCGTTTCTGCCCAGTGCTAAAGGAGTGCAACAAAGATGCAAGGCTGCAGCAAGCTTCTCAGTGGAAGGCGTCTGGGGAGACGTGGCATAATGTACTTTTCACGGATGAAACAACAGTTGCACTGGAGCACTATGCAAGGCAAAGTTTCCACAGAAAGGACCACTTTGTTGCCAAACCGCAACCAAAACACCCGTTGAAGCTTCATGTATGGGGAATGATTTCCCGGCGAGGAGCAGGTCCGATGGTCATCTTCGATGGAATAATGGACAGGACCTACTTCGAGGAGTCCATCATTAAAGAATTCGCTGCACCATACATCAGGAATTATTTTGGGTTGCATCATCGCTTTTTCCAAGACAATGATCCAAAGCACACAGCTGCTGCAGCTTGCATTGCATCTGAGGGCATCAACTGGGTGAAAACTCCAGCGGAGTCGCCGGACTTAAATCCAATTCAGCTTGTTTGGCACTCCATGAAAGACTACATCCGCAAAGAGGCAAAGCCAGGCACAAAACAGGAGCTTGTCCAGGCCATACAGGTGTTTTGGAGGACAAGATTGACAGAGAAGTTCTGCAACAGACTTATTAGTGGTTTAGCTAAAGTCACTAGTCTGATTATCAGGAACAAAGGAGGGCATAGTGGAAAATGATACGCAATTTGTCTCAATAAAAATATGGCAAAAAAAAAACCTCTTACTGTCTTTCTTTCTTTAGGTTACATTGTGGGAAGTAATATTTTAAAATAGGCTATATATTACAATAATTTTGTGTAATATTGCTAAGCCTATTTATTATTTTAAATAATAATAATATTCATATTTGAAGAAGTAGCCTATTGATTCAATTCAACTTCCTTTCTTTCTTCATTTGTGTAAAAATGTAATGTAAAGAGTAAAAGCAAAAAGTTGTCAGAATAATAAATACAGTACAACAATAATCTTGCGACAAAGCTAAACTTTTTAACTATCCAAGGTATTATCTACTTTTGTAAATTATTGTTTCATTTTATCGACATGTTAGAGTGAAGGCATACAGAGGGAACTTGTTTAGATGAGTCACAGTGTAGCAACGATTGAGTGTTCAATTGCTCACTCAAAATGCCTGTAATGCCATGTGTGAGCACACGTGTTGAAACAATAAGGGTACTTGGCTTGCATTGTTCAAAAATTCCAGTGATTTAAAGGTTATCTCCTCATATTTCATTTTCTTTGGTGGTTTATGCAAACTGCTTTTACCTCCATTTGCAATCCTTTTCATAATACTGAATGAGATTAGGCTGCCTGTCACCTTCAGAATGGTTGTTTGTGTTCACATTCCTCACCTGAAGTGGTAATGATACAGTTAGAGGTGAGAAACACTGCCGCCCGCTCTGTTTCTGCACTCAAACAATTCTGAAATTCGTTGTACTACAAAAGCTTGAAATGAACGTACAACTCGTTGTTTTTTTTATCGAAAATATGTCACTGTCTTCATTTATTGTGTATAATTTCTCTAGCAGCAAACACATTTAAAGGAGACGCTTGTCAAGTCTACGCGCGCTGTCCGTGGTGCTGAAATCCCCGCTGCTGCTGACAGCAGACCGGGGGAGAACAAAAGACACTTCTTTGCTCTGTGCTTTCAGAAAATAACCATCATGCAGTCAGTTCGTCCCTGCAGACAGGGGCAAAAGGATCAATGCGCAGCCTCCGTTTTCTTTCTGATTGCGTCCGTCTCCTTCATTCAAACTTTGTCAACACGGTTGGGATTTGTAGTGAACATATGTATGCTGTTCACTATAAAATGTGTTTACTATAAATAAATGCATCTCTGTGCAGAGAGGGCTTAAAATATTCATCAGTAGGTCAACAGGAGAGAAGGTCCACTTTTGGAAATGCATGAAAGCCCTGAGTCAGGAGCGCAGACTTCTCTTTTTTTCATTCAAGGTTACATTCAAATAAACACAAGAAGTTTGTGCTCTAGAGAAAGGATCAGCACTCAGTGGATCACCTCCTAAGCCCTATGATAAGCTATTATGGCAAGGCTTAATATACAGACCAGTGTCTTTGGGGTCATTGGGTGGGAACCTCCTTTCACCAGTGTTTCAAATAATGCTGTTATGTTCCTTAAATGGCTTGATTTAGTTATCAAAGTTTCATTTTCTTAACAAAACATTCTAGTTCTCTTATAACTGCATGTTATTATAAAATAACTTCAAATCAAATCCTTAATCAGTGATAAGTGTGCGTGCTTCCCCCGCCCCTCCCAACAAAAAGCAGACAGCAGAGCCAGGAGTGCGCAAGACCACCTTTTATTTTTATTTATTTTTTATTTTACCCATTATCAAACCTGAGTTCAACTTATAATGACATGACAGTAAAAATATTGATTGGTTCTCTGTTGATTTTTAAGGCTTTACTGTAGGATACTATAGGTATAACCTGCATCGGTACCACTGCCCACCGCTACGGTGGGCAGAAGAATTAATAAAATAAATTAAAAAAGAATCATTAAATAGGCTACAAAGACTCAATTTCTCTCAGCCAGAGCCAACATAAAAATTAGTTCAGTGAATTCCTGCTGTATGTTAGTGTGTTGGCTTTTTATTCATGAAAGCCAGGGACACTTGGCTCCAACACACATTCAAGAACTTCTCGTCACATCACTTCAAAAAATAAATGTGTTTATTTTACAATATCAGAATAATTAAGTTAATAAAGCTAAAATGAAATATCACAAAATCATCGAAAAACTCCATATAGCCTAAAAAGACTCAGTGTAGAAACATCTTCTCTCTCTCCCCACATTCCAAATAACCCAGTATGCAAACAAAAGGTTAGAGCATAGTAATGCTAAATCACTGGCGTTGGAGGGGGAAGGGCAGCTCACAGCGCACCGCCATGAGCCGACAACATTCAATACGTGTAAACCAGAGGGGACCCTGCCTGTTAGCGTAGAGTGCGGCTGAATGTACATTATCCCTTTTAATTGCACAACGGATCTTACTGCTCAGTATCCCCTTTAATGATTGTTTTTATTCTCTTGCCCAAAATAGCAAAAAAAACTGCACCGGCCGCTTTATTTTTTTTAAATTTTGACTAGACTGTCCGCTGTCAAAACAGAGGGGTCTTTGTATGGGGTGCCGTTTGTAAAGTGGCTCACGCTGAAAATAACATCAACATTTTGACATTTTGCCACATTTAGCTTCAAACAAAAAGTGTTGTGAATTTTTTAAGTCATCTTTTACCACATTTACAGCAATATTTGTTAACTTAGAAATATATTAAATAGTTATATCTAAATATTAAATGTGGCACCTAAATGTTAAATGTTAAATCTAAATATTAAATCTAAATCTAAATCTAAATGCTAAATCTAAATGTTAAATCTAAATCAAATAACGAAATAAAACCAACTTATCGGGGGAAATGAACACTTGAACATACATTAGCGTGATAATAACTATCTAAAATATCAAGAAAGATGTTTGGAGAAATTTTATTTGATGTGTACTTTGAGTTGTCAGTGTCCCTTCGGAGGGAATCGCCTTGTTGTTAACAAAAACTTCCGGGTAGAAAACCAGCGGAGTTTAGCTATATATATATATATATATATATATATCACATTTTTCACGTCACTGTATCACCGTTTAGACTAATCTGATTTTTGTAAAGTCTATAAACACAATGATTGAACAACCATTACTATTTCTGTGTGCACGCATTGTAAATGATAATATGGTTATCGTAGATTAGCGGGGCTAACTGTTAGCTCTTAGCCCCGTTAGCGGTGTCTGTAATGACTCATTAACTCTTAAACAGTCTGTGAAAAAAATTTTTTTTTTCTAGCGGATGTCTTAGTTACAACATGATTGAGATAGCAAAGCAGTGTTGTGTTGTGATGTGTGGTATTTATTCAGTTTTGGGAAATCACAATGCTCAGTGGACGCAGCAGCAGCAGCAGCAGCAGCAGCAGCAAAGCTAACATCAGGACATGATCTGTTAAAAGCCTCCCGTTGTCGGATATGACATGAAACTACTCCAGTTTGCTCAATCATGTTGTAACTAAGACATCCGCTGGACAAAATATTTTTTTCACGGACCGTTTAGAGTTAATGAGTCATTAAAGACACCGCTAATGGGGCTAACAGCTGACGGTTACCCCCGCTAATCTACGATAACCATGTTATTAATTTCAAAACGTGCACACAGAAATAGTAATGTTTGTTCAATCATTGTGTTTATAGACTTTACAAACACCAGATTAGTCTAAACGGTGATATAGTGATGTGAAAAATGTGAGATATTCATATATATATATATAGCTAAACTCTGCTGGTTTTCTATCCGGAAGTTTTTGTAAACAACAAGGTGATTCCCTCCGAAGGGACACTAACAACTCAAAGTACACATCAAATAAAATTTCTCCAAACATGTTTCTTGTTGTTTTAGGTAGTCATTATCACACTAATGTATGTTCAAGCGGCCATTTCCCCCGATAAGTTGGTTTTAATTCATTATTTAATTCTATAAACACAGTCTGAACATTTCAAGCTTTTATTTTGGTACTTCCAGTGACTGGCAGTGTGAATTTGCATATTAGCTAAATATTTAGTTTCACCCAGAACATTTAGATTTAACATTTAGATTTAGATTTAATATTTAGATTTAGATTTAGCATTTAAATTTAACATTTAGATTTAGATTTAGCATTTAGATTTAGATTTAATATTTAGATTTAACATTTAGATTTAGATTTAATGTTTAGATTTAACATTTAGATTTAGATTTAATATTTAGATTTAGATTTAACATTTAGGTGCCACATTTAATATTTAGATTTAGATTTAGATTTAATATTTAGATTTAGATTTAATATTTAGATTTAGATTTAACATTTAGGTGCCACATTTAATATTTAGATTTAACATTTAGATTTAGATATAATATTTAGATTTAACATTTAACATTTAGGTGCCACATTTAGTATTTAGATTTAACTATTTAACATATTAAATTTATAAATAATTTATTAAATAATTTGTATATAAGTTAACAAATATTGCTGTAAATGTGGTAAAAGGTGACGTTAAAAAATTCACAACACTTTTTTAAACATTGTTTGAAGCTAAATGTGGCAAAATGTTGATGTTATTTTCAGTGTGAGCCACTTTACAAACGGCACCCCATAGTCTTTGTACTGTATGTGAAAACTTCGGCTACTTGTCAAATCCTGTAAAGTTGTGATTATAATCTCTTGTTATTCAGTCTACAAGTAAAGTCTTTAAAAGAAAAAAGGTGAAGGACCGCCAGTCCGAATAATGGAAGTTAACGTTCGAAGAGGCAAGGTTTCGGAAAGGCAGACAGTTACCCCTGAAAAGAGTCGTTGCTATAGAAACGATACACTTCCACGTTTGATAAACTGAATGACTGCAGGCTGGTTTTTTGTGAGAGAGGCGCCATCTCATGGCCATACCCTGCAATTAAATGAGTGGGCATGTCTAGAATTAAAATAGGAGAGGGAGCGGGGGGTAGAGCCAACACAGCTGGCTGGCAGCCAGCTAGAACTTGGCTGGGATTTAGCTGGGATTTGACAGGCAGCCAGCTGACAGCTGGCTGGAAGGGGAACCTTTGAGTGGCTCCTACTGTAACTAGCATAGGTTGTTAACTGTGTT